TGTGTTCATTAGGCCTTTTGTGCACATTATTATAAAAGCTTCCGTATCTCCCGATGAATAAAACAAACCTATATTGTTTTTACTGCTGTTTCGCTGCTAAGTGCTAAAACTTTATCAAAGTGTTATTGGACTGTAATTTACAGGATCTCAGCTTACAGATAACAACTTAGTCATCGTTCCTCAGCATGGGGTAATTTTTACGTCGTAATTTTGGCCAGTTGGTAAGATAACAAGACCGTGTGCATACTGTTAGATTTGATAAGCGTTTAGAATTATAGAGGCTGCATGTGCTTACATAATGAAATTGCTTATCACATTAAAGGTGATGTAACTAGGTCAAATTTCCCTTTAGTCCATCATTCGTATTCAGACAATATGTATTCCATTTGATATGTAGTGCTTCGTATATTAGACGTTCCTCGTGGTTTATGAAACGTTTTCGGATAGTTGCAATATTGTCAAAATCAATTTCGTAACCTGATTCTACAGCGTTTATACCTCAGACCATTTTCCAAACTGATCTAGTTCGACTGGATTTCATGGTGGTCGAATAGATACACTAGGGCGTTTATTCCTTCTCATTTTGATTTCTTTGAATGCTTGTCCGATGTATATCGCATCACATTCCAAGCATTACGTTTTGTAGACACAGTTGGATTGGGAATCCTTAGGGGTCTGGTCTTTTATATGCACAAGGTTGCTTCTCATTATGTGATGTTTATACGAAAAATCCGATACTGTGCTTCTTGAGTACTCTTCTGATATCCTGTCATCAACGAATCTCAGCCATATTTTAGGCGAGGGTATGTTTGAGAGATGAGTTCATGAAAAGACCGCACGCTATCGGAGAAAATGGTGAACTTATAGCAACACCATTTGTCTGTCTATGTAAATCCCCTTCAATTGTAAAATTACTTTTCAGGCAGAGTTTTAAGCTCTTACTTACTTCGTTGGTGTCGAGTGGACGCCTCTGTGATAGGGTTGTGTCTGATTCTAGTAAAATGAAAATGATAGCAAGACTTTCGGTTATGGGAATGTTACGGTTTAATGAGTCATTGTCATGGCTAACCTTAACACCTCTATCAACTTCTTACTGTTCCGTTTCGAATTTAACGTCACATGAATCTTTTATAGAATTTCGAGTGTTCTTTTACAGTTGTTCCAGTATCGAAGATGAATTCTCGAATCGTTTTACGCCAGTAAAATGCTGGTAAAATCTGCTACTGGTCTTGATAGGATTGTGTGCTTATGTACCTTTGATTGACTGTAGAATCTTGAGAGTAAACTAAATTTTAGTTTTAATTTGAACCAAACAGAATTCCCAAATTTGGGTGTGAGCTCTTGGAGTCTGTTGGTGTTCAGTTTCATTCTGTTGAATTAGACCCATTTCCTCCTTCCTTCAATAAGTAAGTATGATCTATTGGATAAGTATTCAGTTGCCGTCTTTTCATAACTAGTTTTGTTCATTACCGCCGTGACGTTGCCCTCATCGGCCTTAGTTATACCGGTGCTTCTGTCCTTTCACACTTCTTAGGACTTCATTTACTTGTTTGGTTTCGTTGTGTCATTAAAATGTGTTATACATTTTGAGGCAGAGATTGTGATTCCCTTTCGGTGATCAGTTGTTGAGCGAGTTAGATCATACGTGCTATTTCCTGAATCGATAATTGCCCCGAATCGCCTTTTGCCATTAATTCACTGAGGAGTACAAAACTTTTATGTTAATAAATTTCCCATACCTAATGCACAGTTTTTTAAATTATTAAATTTGAATTTGGTTTGGACGTATATGGACCGTTTGTGGTTCATTGTACATTTTTGCTCGAATTCATATTTTAATTGTGGGCTAGGTTTAAGCTCAGCTATTGTGTTATTTCTGTAAGGACGCCAGATAACCTAATATTTGTCCCCATTATCTCTAATTGATTCACATTTGAGGGTTTGCACCGTTTTAATTGATACATTTCCTTTAAGAGAACAATGAACTTGCAGTTCTTCGGAAGCTTTGAAAGGAGCCTAGAAAGACATATTAACATGTCCACTCTAGCTCGTCTAAAAGATAACAACTGCTGGTAGAGTGGGGAGACAATGACATTTCAACATTTAACTACGGAAAGCACACTAGTCCCAATACTAATATAATAATACTTAGTAATTATGCATAATCAATTCTTGAAATTTGATTGTCATTACAATACTTAAAATGATTAAAATATTTATGCAGCAAATGTCCTCTTGCTTTACCACGCTTGTTTTCCCTTATAACACTCAATTATTGAGCTTAATGTATTCTTTGATAGTACGAATTATAATATTGATTACACTCTTATCATATATAGTTTGATTTACTTTACGGCGCCCTGTAAGACTAACTACCCTCCTTCAGTATACACACACTGCAGTATTGTTAACCAAATGTTAAAATTCTGTTGGTTCTGTGTTAATATCGTTTTATAATATGTGTAAACAGGTTACTTTGCAATGTCAAATGTTTACTATATAAAAGACTGTCATGATAATTTAGTACAATAAGTCCTGCCAACCGACCTTACCTTCAGTTCATACTACCTACATTGAACTCTAACTATAGTGTTCTGATGAATCTTGCTCCACTATTCACAAAACCTATTCTTTTTACTCTTTAAAGGTTTAACATCTTATAAACTAATCTGTTCATTAGGACGCATGCACACATATGCAATATGTTCATAAATCTGTATGTGGAGATCTATTGGAAGCACTCGCTAAGAAAGCTAGGGAAATGGAATGTGAGGCACGAGCGTGTCTGGAACCAAGCAATATATTTGCTGTAGCCAAAACAACCAAAGCCTAACATCATAAAAGGAGGGAGGGTGGCGCATGCTGATCAGTAGATATGGTGGTGGTCACTAAGGTGAATCGCCCCATTCTGCAGGAACGGCAATATGCAATTTGAAGGCTCGAGATTTTCTATGACGGCTTGAATCTTTATCTTGAAAAAGATAACAATGATCGCCTAGACATATCATGCTTCTACCTGTAAACATATACCATTCGGTCAGCCTATTGCTGAGATGCAACCACGTGGGCTCTGCACAGATTTATGGGTCATCTTATAAATTAACACGCTTTCCTTTGTCGTATCTTCGAATATCACTTAACAATGTCTCATCTCATTCATTTTCTAATAACGTCTTTACTTGCTCCTCATTATATTCCATTAAACCTGACATTTTATAGCTTTTTATGAATTTGATTCAACTTATTTTATTCCTATTCTCTGTAGGATACGGTTGTGCACCAAATACACAAAAAGGTATGAAATAAAAACAATCGGCTTGTGGATAATTTTATTAAAACCAAAAGTGGACATCATGATAGTAAGACCTATATGGGTAGCATTATACATTGCAAATGAACTTAGTCAGCCTAGGGATTATAGTCTCCCATTGTATTTCCTTTATGAATGCACCTATTATTGATACATTGCGTTTACCTATTTCATTACACCTTAATGATTCACCTTAGCACCTTCACTTTTCTAAAACAGCTTACTATCCCTTGTAAACGTTGTACTTACCTCAATATTGCTTGGTTGTCGTATGCCTACAACTGCGGATTGAAAACGAAACGAAGTCGATTTTCCTGCGCAACCTGGAGGACTACTGTTTAATTCAATAATGATACGACATGGGTCAGACAATGAGTGTATTTATATATATATATCAAATATTTAGCTGTTCAAACATTATAAACTTGTAGACAATCTACTATTTGACATTATATCATACTTGATCGTGCCTGTAAAAATGGCATGCATTTTCATGTAAATTTATGTTTACATGAAAATATACATTAATATTATTATTATCAATATAAACCTAGTTAGAGCTGATTTTTTGTTTTGGATTTGGTGAGGTCTGGTTTTGCGTCGGATTTGGTCGAAGACTGCAAGTCTCTATCCTAAAGGGTTGTTCGTGCAGTGCCAGTAACAATATCTTTATTCCAGTTAAAATGGCAACCACAGAGATTGACTCGAAAGTTATCTAAGTCAGCCTACAACAACTCACTTACTTCTGTGGATCACATACATTCATACACTTCATCATACACAAAATTACCAACTATAATGACTTATGTTGCTTTCATTTGGTGCTCTAATTTCTGAGATATCTTTGAGGTTGAACATTACATCTTGGAATGTGCAATATTGTCGCTGTTTCCTTATTCAGAAGAAAGTCTAGCCTTCTGGAAACAGTAAAAAGACAAGAGGGGTGAGGAGTTTACTAGATAAACCATATGATGAACGGCTGAAGAAACTTGGTCTTCTTGCCTTTAGCTACCGTTGGCTTAGAGGGGACTTAATTACTGCCAATGCGATCACAAATGAGCAGAATCATCTAAATAGAGGTATTCTGCCACTGAGTGCGTATGGGTTTCCTCATGGGAATCAATGAAGGATAGTGCACCGGAGAGAAAAGACCCAAGTGCACTCCCATTTCTTTTCACTTTGAGTTTGATGCTTCTTGAACTCTCTAAAAGCGCCATCCGTGCAAAGCTTTAAGCAGAGGCTGGACAATCGTGCAGCAATACAAGGACTGTGTTCAAACGGTCCACTCCTCACAATTCACATACACAACTATAATGAGTATACAAGTAAACTCGTCTTTTTGTTCCCTCCTATTCTACCTTGTCCTACTCTCCTGACTACTCTATCTTTTAAGTCCTTTTTATAATTATAGTTTTTAATACATATTTCAGATTGCATTGCCTATCTGATTGAATCTTTTGGAATCGACATAAATCACACTCATTATATGTCTACTATTACTGGTAGCATCTCTCTTTTCGATCCCGCCAGATGACTAACGTGTGAAATGACCAACTATATGCACAGCAGAAACACTATTTTTACACACCGAATACACTGGATAAAGTGATATTGGATATTGGATTTAGCGCTGCATTCAAACTGTTTGTCTTGTTATCGTGTATCCCAGTCTGTCGTTATTATGTGACTGATGATTAAAATCCACTGCTGTCAAAATTATACTGAATTAAATATTTTAAATGTCATTCTTTTGAACGAAAAACACCTTTCCTACAGATTTTCGGAAGGAACTCTTGTTGAGGATGTTCTTAATGATGTTTGCACGTTCATTAAGCTACAGGAGCGCGATATGTTTGGACTTGCTTTACCTACTGGTAGTATCTCGTAAATATTGAGGGAATAAGTGTGCAATTTTAGATGAAGGATGGCTGTTCGTTGAACCCAGCGAGTTTCTCCATAAGGTAGTCAACAGTTACCTTACTCCTATGACCAGAATCACTGGAATGGTAAGTTCACCTTCACGGAAAAAGTGTTGATAAAATTGTTGTTGGGTCCCCCTTTTGTGTTTCAACTGTTTGTGATGGTTTAGTTTTGAAAATCGCTAGTTTTGAGGGGCAGAGATCTGAATCTGTCTTTCTCGAGAAATGTTGAGCTTTTATCTGTTGGAGTATGTCACAAGAAGTCTCTGAAAAAGGAGGTTTGCGACTTGTCTGAGTATATTTTGTATCCAGATACTTGTGATTTGATTCGTGTAAACTTCAGGGCCCTTTAATCTAATTTGAGAGTTCAATAAAAATACAGAATTAATATCCATCTCGCTCGAAGAATTATGGTAGCCTTACTAATCTAGTTTACAAATCTGTCACATCACGAATCATGGAAGTTATTTTTAATTTAAACTGGTAATTCCACACAAGATTTACTGTGTGGGTGTGCATCCTAAAATTATGTGCATATTGATGTAGAGGTAAATGCCAGTCTTAGGTCTACAGTTATGCAGACATTAACGTTGGAGGCTGCTACTCTTTTAGTGAACTTCATAAACTATAGGCACCTTTTAGAAAATCAAGCATTTTGGTAGCTGTGAACAGGTAGGCTTTATGCACATGGATGCGTTTATCCTTCAACTCTCAAAGTACTTGTTTTATTGTTACTAGGAAGGGATCAAAACAACAGGCTGATCGTACAAAACACAAACTATATTTCAAGACCGGAAATGAAGAAAGGTGGTTACCGCCTACGTAGCTAGGGTTCCTGTACGACAGCGTATAAAGTGGTGTGCATTCGTTCATTCGACTTAACCAGGTTACTTTAACAGTCAAGATTGACACCTGGTGTTGAGTGGTTAGTGCTTCAGTCAAGTAATTTTTGGGAGTTACTTGTCGCCTCATCATGATGCTGTGTTACTTTCGGTTGTGAGTACACCACAATCGATACCTAGCTATTTAATCACTAATCTCCTTTTCAAGAGGGACATCCCAAAATACTAATTTTGTTTTGTGAGATAAAGTACACTTTCTTACTTTGTATTACTATTTGCTTCCAATTTGATATCATAACCCATTTGGGGATTATAGTCACGTACCGTAGTTTATGTCATCCTACCGCCATAGATGGACCTCAAATCCTAATCATTACCATACTTCATGGCTTGAGTATTTTTTCAAAACATTCCAGTTAAATGACTTCCAGTCGCAAGTCCCTCTGCATTTAACTTCGGATTTAATCGACTTTCTGGGGAACAGAGAAGTGTTGACAGGTTGTTGCTTACAATGAAGAGACCTTAGTGGAATCAGACAATGTCTGGGAGCTGAGACTTAGCCCTTATAATGAGTTTTTATGCTGGCTTTTGTCAAGAAATATTCTGCAAGTCATCATGTGTGTGATTAATATAAAATATCATCCCCAAACAAAATGATGAAAAAGACCGGTGAAATCTTCAGGAAATACTATATGCTTTAGCCGTGTAACGTCTTCCTTTCATATATTTCATCTACTGCATATAGATGTTCTAGCCTTGAAGTCTTGATGCTAATTCGTACACAACCTAATTCAAAAAACTCTCGTTAATTTCTTTTATTAGATATGTCCTCGGTGGAATGACTCCGGCTCTCTGAGTCAATTTTCCTGTAGTTTCTGCTAGTTTAACTAAATATTACGCAGCAACTTCTTATCTCGTCTCAAGAGCATATAGATTTCCATTAACAGGGATAACTATCATCCACTGTTGTGGGGTGTGCATTGAAAATTAGTACATGATTGTCTGGAACTTTTCTGTGAGCACTGATATTTACTTTAAGAAACATATAATTCTTAGATATTCCACAATTCACATGTGTTTTTCTTTGTCTGTTTAATGAATTCCAGTGGATATAGAAACTGTATATTACATAAAATTCTGTTTACGGAATTTAGTTGCAGAATGGAACATATATATGATGTGGTTTGGTCAAATTAAAAAAATGGTTTGCTCGCGTAACCTATTTGAAATGTTAGAGTTTGTCAACAGGTGCCGATATATTTTGTTATAAGTAAAAAATTCACTCATCTTACTCGAAGAAACCTTTGTCTCTAAATTAACCCCCAGAAAGAAATCGAGACGATGTGTTCAACTTTTAAAAAAAACGAATGGACTTTCAAGAGGTCACTTGTTTTTCAATCAAATAAAGATACTCAAGTTGCTGGTATAACACGTTCACATTTTAGGGTCTTACATTATTTGCACACGGGAAAGTTACGGATACGAAAGTTGTTCAGACATGATTTAACTGAAAGTATTCTAACCCACCTCAAAGAATGATGGACAAAGAAAGCTAAAGAAGCGGAAAAGGCATCAGTCATACTGGTCTACTACTTAGGCTTATTAAGGATACGGGTTTCGAAAAGCTGTAGCAAGTGTAATAACCTCTGAGAAAGACTTAACCCAAATAACTTCTTAAAAGGGAAATAAATAGTAACTTCAATTCAGCTGGAGTTTGAATTCTATACCTATGAAAGTCTATTGTTATGATTGTATGGTGATGGGATCTACAAATGTTTAATATTTTTAAAAATCATCTGTTATGTTACTAGACATTTTAAATCTTAGGAATTATGATTAGATGTATAAATGTTTATAACTAAGATCATGATGAACTGACAGATAATGACGTAGTGGTTTTTTCTATTAGATATATTTATACCCCTGTTACTACAGTTAGTTTGGATTCAGCTGTGCGTGTAATATCAGCAGAACACTTCATGTATAACAAAAGACTCTCATAAGGATAAATTAGAAAAATAAATTCTATTTCACTACCTTCTTTTTAGCTTTGTACAGACTATTAACTGAAAATCGTCAGAATGTATATTAAATATATATATACTTCAAGATTTAAGACATCCATCAGTCCTTCGCTGAACATTAAAAAATACCAAAAGTGAAGGTAGGAAGAATAGTAAGATATCAAGAGACCGGGTATGAATTCAGGTGGGTGGTTTTAGAAATGGACAGAAAAACAGGTGAACTAACATGGCAGTCTAAGCAGAAATGTATCACTTCATGTTGCAACATTTCATATCAGCACGCACAAAAGAACACAGAGTACACATAAATGATATTTCAGGGGATGATCACGAATATGACAGAAAAAAGAATGAATTAAATATCAGCGAATATTATGGAATTTTCCCAAATAATAAAGATGTTATCAACAATTTTAATCCATGTCTCCTAGACTGATGAAGCTTTCAAATGCCAACCACCCCCACTCATTTGTGAGCACTCACCAGCACGGTCCGGTGTGTGATCAATACCCACAAAAACCGACAAACTCCTACCAATCTCTTTATTCTCTCATCTGATTACGTAATCTTTGTTTTCAACCTCACCCCTCCTTTTTTTTTATTCTTATTTTTAAAATCTGTAATATTGCTTGTCTCTTTTTTTTATCTGACGTGATTTGAACTCAGTACATCGTTACAAAATTTATTAGTTACTCATCATCTTACTCACCTCTCGTCTTTATTACGTAACTCTTTTACCATTGTATGCATACATCTATTTTGTTTAAACTTGAACTGCCTGTGAAAAAACTATATAAGCGCAATTTTCTGAGCACTGTTCACTTATTGTGGAATCTTCTGTCAACTGACAACATGTAAAATTTGCAAGTATGTAAAAAAACTTTTCTGTACGTAAACCTCACAATTTATTTAGGCTGTAAGCAGCTGATGAGAAGCCGACGAAACAAATGATGGTACCATATTATTCTGCACAAACCGCTGTTGTTCTTGCTTTATTTAAAATCTCCTAAAGGGATGACCTGTGTGGAATCGGTCTAGTTTCATTCACAGTCGGCTTACTGTCAGCGGTTTGATAAGGCCTCTTTTTATGTTTTTATATAGTATTAGTTACAGAGAGGTGACTGTCCAAAAACAGTTGTAGTGGACGACTGTCGTCATCGGTTTGTATGCGTGAAACCTTATTACCATTCCTAGCATTCTTTTTCATCTGATTTAACTTCCTTGTTTAAGTACTGAAGGCATCTTCCTAGGGCTGCTTCATTTAGGAGTTTAGATTTTCGAAGCTTTTAATGAAACATTCTTTACAAGCATAGTCTACAAACAGGTGAAGTATAGAAATTTTTCAACACTGGATAAATTTAGAAGATTCATCATACCGGCCGGATCTGTTCAAATCATTAACCACATGTGGATCTTTTATACATAACACATCCATGATCTCAGGAGCTTGACTTTTGACCAATGTGGATCGCTGTCTTAATTTGCATAGTGTTCGGAATTCAAAATACTTATGTGGTGCTTGATACTCTCTGGCTGCTAATCCCGTAGAAGTTTGTAGCTTGTTTCACCTGATGTGATGACAGAGCCCAGTGAATGTCTTTTTGGATCTAGCCACACACAGATTACTAATACGAGTTAGATTTTATGGAGTTTCCGTACTGTCGTTTGCTAACCCTTTTAGACAGAATATATTTATCGGGGCCAATCTTTTCTAGCTGCTCTTCTCTAGGGTCTGAAAACGATGTGAATAGCTTGCAGTCCATTAGACTCCGTGACAACGGCACAGTTTTGTTTTCAGACCTCAGCCTTCACTATAACAGTAACTACCTTGAGTCTTATCACTATCCAGCCAGCTGTTGGTAGAGAGTTATGAAAATATACTAGTAAACAGCCGTATACGTTGTCAGGTAAGTAAGCCTAAACAACAAGTCTCTAAATGATATTCAGATAAAAATGGTTTCCTTTCCTAGTTTATTTGTTTGCAGCTTTCGCCAACGTATTTCATAACTAACACTTTCGAAAAAGACATTATTCAAAATCATTACCCTAGCCCAATACTGTAGTATTCTGACAGCTCATTTTTCGTCGGTTATCGGTGGCACAGTGGTTAGGACTCTCGCCGACCATGCACATGGTCTGGGGTTCGATCACCTGCCGACACATACCCGATATCCATGGTCGGCCTGTAAAATTTGGGCTACCGATATCCATGCTGAAAATTCCATACTTGTACTGAAAATACGGTGTGGCATCAAGCTGTAATCCAAAATAAAATATAAAATAATTTGTGTAAGATGAGAAATTCCTTACATCAAACTTTTGAAATAATTGAATCGTTAACATATTTCATTGTTGAATTATTCAATTAAGTGATGTTCAGATCTGTAAAGTAAAAATTCTTTTTCGCTATTTGTTCAATCAAGAACTTAATTTTTGGATGAGTTTTATGAAATGTTTTGTTCTATCATTACACACAGCAGAAATCTCATTTGCATTCCTTACATGGGATTTAGCTTCCTTGATTACCGTGACTAGTTTTGTTTCTTTTCAGTTCTATTGATTTTCCATTCACAGAACATATGCCACTGCAGTGCGTTATGTAAAAATGTGTCGTTACTTCTCAGTTTAAACAGGTAAAAAAGTAATAAATGAATAAAATACTACATGATAATCACGCACTGTCTTTGTTTGCATCTTTATACATCTACGGAAAGACTATGCTGTACTATCTTCAGAGCTTTGCAGAAGAATTTCAGGCATTAATGTTGCCTACTGTAACACATTGTAACAAAATACGAACTAGTTATTCCTGATGACCACATAGCTAATATCACTCCTTGTGGAAGTTCACTTTGAAATATAGAAAGTTCTTACAAACTGAATATCTGTGTGCTCATTACTTGAAAGAAATAATTACAGAACGAGGAACTTAGTAACTAATCGAATATGTTAAGAAATATAAAGATATAAAATATGAATAAAAATGCATCCTGATCATAGGATGTAAATATTTGTGGCACAAAATAATTATGACACATATTCTGAGGAAAATGATACACCTGATCGAATTCAGTCTCAAATACACAAACTTCCGCACGTGTAAGGCAAATCAATCCTTATCATCTAAAAAAATAGTATTATATCATTTCTGTACGAGTTTAAAGCCATTATTATCATCATCCTAGCTATTTTAACTGTGATGAAATAGACGTGTTGCACTTTCAGTAAGTTCTATAATTACTACTGTAAAACATTATGAACGTTATTACTTAACTGTGAATATGATAGATAGTTCAGTAAGATTTCTACGTAAGATAATTTTCTGTAAATTTTGATTTGAAATGATAGTAATGGAGTGGAAACGAAAATCTATATATATCACTGTCAACAACCGTAGAAGAAATTCCCAATGGAAAGCTTTTATTTAAAAAGGAATAATTGTATTGCATGTTTATAACCTAAATAAAGCCAATATAGTAAACAGAATAGCATTTATACTAAAACCCGCGCTGAAGCTGTTGTCTAGAAGGAGGACGAAAGCTTCGCAATTAAATCAACTAGTTCAGAGAATACAACTAATTCAACATCATCCACCTGAGCTATAAATCTTCTGCATTATTTTGGAGTAGCATTCAGCGAAGGAAATCCTACAGTTTCAACGTTGGTACATAATTAGCAAAATACTGACCAGCATATATTTACAGCTACGCTAGTTCCAAAATCCTAGGTTTAAGCAAATTAAAACAAATTTTATTGTAAACGAGATGTGTATCATATTGCATAATTTACTGGTAACATAATTGAATTGGAGGTACATTAACATCAACTGGGGAAGAACAAAAGGCCAGTAGAACACTGGATTCCAAACTACGGTCTAAATGATGATATATTCGTCCCAACACTTTGTGGTCTTGTGTTTGATTCGCATGTGGTCACCACTGATTAGTCTTAAAGTTGAACGAAATGGGTGTTAGTTTTCATTAGTTCTGTAGCTAGTGTTAGTTTTTGATAAAATTTTAATCATTTATTTTAAATCTTTAAGACAACGAAACATTTTATCTTGTTATGCATCTTCAACACTTTATTAATAGGGTGTTTTCTTCTTACCACCAAACAAATCGAATTTTCGTCACCAACCTCCTTCACCAATAACATCATCACATCCAACTGTGTATTTTCGCATACGTTTTTATGTTCCAATTTACTGTTTAAATGAACGTACAACACAACACTTTTATTACAAACAATTAAGGAAAAATCATATTGCCTATAATTTATTTTGTGATCCGAATGTCTACTTACAATTAGCAGCATTTGCATTACAAGCTGAAGTAGGTAATGCACCGAAAAAATACAATATCGAAACTGCTGCACCCTACTTCCCACAAGAACTTTATTATCCTAGTAAAGTAAGTTGATATATTTTTCTATTGTTTTCTTGAATATACAATTTTTTTCGTTTAACAAATATGCAAACTGACTGACTGAACTATGCTCTAGTTTAAACTGAACTAATAGTTTCTCATTAATACGACGTGTTACAACTCTAAATCATCGGATCATTGAGTTATCTGTAACTGTGCTATTAATCTGTCCTGTTATTCAGCACTTAAACATATGGTTAGTTTTCCAAGTATACAGATTCTACCTCAACCTGGATAAGTGGCTAGTATGCTTTGAATCGCAAAGAAAATTGTTGAGAATTTGTTTCTTAGCTTGAAAAGGCATCAGTTGGCGCAGTACTAAAGTCAAGATTTACACCACACAAAAATTTGACATTAGGAACTCAAATATCAAACAAAAGATGTAGATCGATCAAGGTAAAGAGGATGATCCTGATATGGAATCTACATTCTGACGAAAATCTAATGCCATATAACCGCCGAAATCTACCCTATTCAGTCATCGTGCACTAAGGGATGCCTGTCTCAGGTTTACTCAGTCATGACTAGTTTGCAAGTTTCCTGATTGATTTGCAAACAGCCTGATAATGCCACAAAAACAATATTCCACACTATACAAGCAAAATGTTGACTGCATTACAACTCAAGTCTCTATAATGAAGTAACTTTATGTGGAAGTGGTTATCGAAAAAACAGCAGCCAAAAACACAGATTTCTGAAAAAAATGAACCTCAGGTATGAATTAAAATGAAGAGTCTATTGGATGTGAAACGATGAAGGCTGTTGGATGAGATTGAAAGTACTCAAAATAATACTACACAGAACCACAGATGAAAAGATTTATGGAACCAATGAATGAAAAAAACCTTAGTGGAGAATTACAAAAAAAGGTAAATCTATTGAATTTCGAATTAGTTATGGATTTACAAATCAGAGCTTTCAGTTATCGATTTTCAGCCCAGAAACTTAATTCTTTTTCTTGAACCATTGTAGTCTGCTGAGATCACACTGTCTACTACGAACTGAAACTTCATCATTTGAAGCGTATTTTAAGTCAGAAAGCAGGTCTAACATAGCGGGGTAGAAATGTCTGTTGTATCTGAGATCCATGTACAAGACTCAAGTTTGGTTACTTGATTAACATCATCTAACTAATATGCAGGATCAGTACAACCAAACTGAGTGAATTATTTCTGGTGCGCTAAATGCTGTTTAGATAACTTAGAATCTGAATCTTCACATAAGCTCTATATTTATAGTTTCGTGGGTGTTCGTTCATAAACAAATGAATCTATCCCTTCTTCAGCTATACGGTGGTCCTCTAATCTTCACTCAGACCGAGAGTTGTCATTGGATTTATGTTAATTTGTTATGGATCTACAACATTTCAATAAGCACGCAGCAAATGCAGATTATCTGAATGGATAATGAACTCAGCTGATTTAAATAGTTAACTAGCTTACTGACTATAGCAGGTTAACTTACGTTATTTCTTGTGACAAATGATTTGATTACTTGACAGTCAATTGAGTATAGTCTAGTTGTATATTTAATCTTTAACAAACTGGCAGTGATTTTCATTTTATGCTTTAGGTGAATATTTGATATATGCCTAGCATAATGATCAACATAATAATTTAGGTGAAAAAACTTATTGCTTGTTTAAACTAACAAAAGTAAAACATTATTCCATTAATTTATTCAGAACAAAATAGCTAGAGCGAACAATTGTTTTCATTAAATTCTCCTTCAGGATCTACAATTATAAATTCATTAGTTTAAGCATACAAGGAGAATTTATTGAAAACAATTGTTCGCTTTAACTATTTTGTTTTAAAACATTATTAGAAACATCCGAAACGCTATATTCCCTGACCAGCAGTTCATTTTCACTGAATACCTATTTATTCATTAAAATTTTAGTTTACTGAATCATCGGATAAATCTGATCTGGTTTACCATACCTACATACGTCATTCAGCGCTTCGCAATACTGTAGCCTATTTGGCTGAATTTCACTTTAGTCGTCTGGCAACTAAACTTAATTCAGATTTCAATTTACACTTATATCCACTTAAGAAACTTTCTGAGAAATGTCGTTTCTCTGTATTGATTGGTATCAGTCCAAATGGATTCACCTTATATCAGGTAGGGAATAGTAATGTGATTATAAAGCTATTACTTGAAATACACTTTCATTTTAACTTTT